ATAAAACCAGTCTTTGTTGTCATTCCATATACATTCCTTCTCAATTTCTCACTTGCTCTAAACACTAAAAAGTCCAAAAAGGAAGATTATCCTCCTTATCTATCCTCATTGTCAACTTAACATTACAATAAATCATGTCAAGTAAGAACCGCACATTATCTAAACTATCTTTACCATGCTGTCGAATGACAAAATAGTCATCCATATCATCTAATTATCAGTTTGGTGTCAATCTTGCCTCTTCTATGAAGACTTTCTCCATTCTTGACGTGCAATTATTCACTAAAATGGCCGCCAGTTGTCGCTCCTGTTTATAAAATTCGGTGCCAACGGGGCAGAATCTGCTACTCATGGATGGCCTAAGTAGTCTCAAGATAGGGCCTTTGCTCAGATTTGCTTCCTCAAAAATAATGCCGGCGGCCCTGTTGCAGACTGTGGCGGCCGGCGTCGGTGGGTGATCAGCCGCGAAACTGGAAGCTTGCACGGAAGTTTGCCCACACGGAATCACCTTCAGCCATTTTGGAGCCCTCTACAGTCAAATGCATACCGTCACGTTTGTCCGTTTGTCAGTCGTTGTGTGTGCGTGAAGTGTGTCTGTACATGTGGCCGCACGACAAACAATAAAGACTATTTTAATGTTACGTGGTTGGGCATATTTAGTTGACCAAATTAATAATTTCTATTTGATAGTTGGTATTTACTTTACACTTTTTCACCTTACTACTTACAAGTAATATCGTCCAAATTTTTTTGTGCGTAATTTCGACTAGCCTAAAGGTCTCACTTCTTTTCGTCTCCTGACCAACCAACCCAAGCAGCCGCCGCCACCGCTTTGCCAACAGGCCAGCAAGCATTTTGGAAGTGTGTTTTTTATTTCACATAAATTCACCAGCTTCACCCTTTTTGCGGCTTCCAACATGCTCTGATGGTCATCTTTTTGTTTGTTCTGCTTTCTTTTGCTCTTCTTCTTCCTTTTCTTAGGCGGAAGCCTTGCAAGTCTCGGTCGAAAAGTCCATCATCGAAGCAAAAGAGGTTTGTTCTCCGTTTCACCGTTCCCGGTTGCGCTGCCTGTCCACATGAGCCTGTTGCTTTAGCCTCTGGACGGTTGGACAAATGTGCTTTTTCTTTTGTCTGCTTCAATGACCCCGATCATGTGAACCCTTTCAACTGGACTCGGCAGCCGGCCTGCGTCTCGGGCTTCGCGAGTTCCGAGTTCGAGGCCGGCCGAGGACAGTTTGGTACCTGCCGTCCGGGCGCTTTTCTATGAGTCTCTCTGTCGAGATGCGGGTACAGAATCAACCAACCTCAATCGTCTTCAGCTTTTTTTCCACTTTAAAAAGGCTGCTACCTCCAAATGAAATGTCCATCTTTCAGCATATCAACTCGCCAACTACACACTTTCAGTTATTCTTCCCAACATTCAACCGCATGCACACACATTAATGTATGTATGTATGTATTTATGTGTGTGTATGTATGCGCTTGTGCAGTTGTTTATGCTTTTCCCTGAATTCCAGTTTTTCCTTTTCAGGTTAAAAATCGGACGAAGGAGGCCGGAGGCCATAAACGTGGGTGTTGGTTTGTTTTTTCGGCACGATTAGTTGACTTTTATCAAATCACAAAATTGCTCCTGCACACGCTCCTTTGCTCAAGCCTGCCGAAGGTCGCTGACTCGATCCCATTTTGCCCCAATCGCGCTGCGAGCCCCACGCGGATCAGATCCGAGTCTTGTCGGATCGTTCCAGAAGGGTCGAAGGGGTCGGCTCATCGTTTCCTCATCGTCACGGTTTGCGCTCAAGACATCACAGGGACAAACCCTTGCTGTCCCGTCTCGCTCTCTTTCATACACACGGACACACAGACACACGGACACACGGACACACGGACATACACACAACTCCGGTACACACCGATACATGTAAAGACTGACGATGACACACACAAACACATGGTGCCTCTTAGTCGTAGCGGAGGGTCATGGTTGCTGAGCTGGTTTCCCGACCCCAGACCCGCGGTTCCTGATTGGCTGGAAGGGCGCCAATTCGCCCATCCTGTACACGTGGCTTCTCATTAGAGCCAAACAGACAGACTCGTTTTTGATGTTGCGAAGACTTTCAGTTCATGTGAAAGTGCTTGACGAGGCGATTCGAGAGTTGATGTGGCCAGAATACGTCGGCTGATTGGCGACGTATCGCAGCCGTTTCGTCTTGACAACACGTTCCGGTTGATGCAGTACAGCCCGACTCGGCCGGCGTCTTCTGGTCCGATTGGGCCAGCAAACTCGGCATCATTCACTTTCATGCGAAGCGGAAGTCTGCGCGACAATCTTGTTTGAGGTGGGTCTTGGTGACTGGCGTTTGCTTCGTATCTGCAATTGGGATATTGTTCGAGGTCCAGTCCGATCCAGTCTGGATTGGATGGCCTTTCGGGCGGGAAGGAGACACGAAATGTGACGCTTTCGGGAGACCGACTCGAGCGATTTGGGCAAAACTCAATTATCGCACCTTTACTCGCCTTAAACGGGCTCGACTGATGAAATTAGGCCTCAGAAACGCCCACAAGACAAAAACAACTAAACTGCAGCTTCTTTTTGTCCAATTCATCTGACACAACTTGCCACCTTTTTTGTGGGTTCTTTCAGTGTCTCGACTACGAACCGGCCGAAGTCCGTCCAACGAGTCGCCGCAAAGTAGCTGCCACGACTTGCTCGTCGTCAAGCTGAAACGACTCCCAGTCTTGCAAGAATTTGCAGAAAATCACTTCAAGACAAGGTATTCAGCTTTGTAATTAGACCTTTTGCTATTATTATTGCTACTACTACTACTACTACTACTACTACTACTACTACTACTACTACTACTACTACTACTACTACTAC